TAATCTTGCCATGTGCATCCTGCCTGCTGTACTCTATCTCTCACTTCATCCAAAGGAGGATCACTGCTTAAGCACCTAGTCCTGAAGGTCCAATATGGTCCCCTACAGGACCTGGAACTCTGGCATCAATGATTTGATGACCCACTAGATGAGGGAGGAATGTTAGATCATAGTTAGCAGCAGAAACTCCATTTTGTGCCCCTTCTGTTTGGTTGGCCCAGAGCCAGTCTGAACCACCAAACCAAAGAACTCCCTGATAGCCTGAAAAGTGTATCACCATGGAAAGTCCCCAACTGCTTCTCCCCATATTACGTTATGATTGGATGGGACTTGGGAGCTATCTCTCTGTGGTTTTCCCCTATAAAACTGGCTGCTGCCCCTGTCTTGGGTATTGCAGTCTGGAGCTGGAACCCTACCACCTTGCTGATATCAGTTTCTCTGAATAAATTGTTGACTTGCTCGAACCCAGTCTTTTGTGGTGGATTATTCCTGGATTCTCAGACCCTAACACTATCTGTTACTCTTCTCTGAGATTCTGTCTTAGGAAAAAATGTCCAGACTTCCCACCAGTTGATATCAACGTGTCTAAATAGTATTAAATTATGTTAAGGAACATCAAACCACACAAAAGACACAAATAGTAACATATTAATTAGATATGTTATTAATTTGTTATTAATTAATGCTAATAACAAATTAACTAGAGTTAATTCAGGAGAAAGAACATAGAGACACAATGTTAGTGGGAATCCAACTTACTGCAGCCACAATGCAATTCAGCACACAGCTTCTAGAAAATTTTGAGGGAAAAAAGCCATGCATGATTTTAACAGGGCACTCTGGCTGTCCTGGAACTCACTCTGTAGACCAGGCTGACTTGAACTCACAGAGATCTGCCTGTCTCTGCCTCCTCAGTGCTAGGATTAAAGGCATGTGCCACCATGCCTGGTTAAAATATGTCTCATTTTTTTATGCATGTTCTTTTTGCATGTGGTAAGATACCAGAGTTTGAACCTAGGCCCTTATACGTGCTAGGCAAGCACCTTACCACTGAGCTACATGCCCAGCACCCCTAGGTGACTCTTACAAGAAGCTAGATTGAGACTCTTCTCTGGAGTGATATTAAACTTTATTAAATTAAATATATAATATATATAAAAAAAACCTGACAGGCTTGGGGGGGGGCAGTGGCACATGGTCTTTATCTAAGCAGTAAGGAGGCCAGAAGCAGGCTCAATGCCAGCCTAGACTACAGAGTCCCAAGACAGCCAGAGCAACATAACAAAGAAACCTTGTCTCAAAAGAAAAACAAAAACCAAACAATTGACTGAAGAGGGTTTTTACTGTGCATTGTAAGAATTTTTGTTCTTTAAAAAAATGTTTGGCCGGGCGGTGGTGGCACACGCCTTTAATCCCAGCACTCGGGAGGCAGAGCCAGGCGGATCTTTGTGAGTTCCAGGCCAGCTTGGTCTACAGAGCGAGATCCAGGAAAGGCGCAAAGCTACAAAGAGAAACCCTGTCTCGAAAAACCAAAAAAATAAAAAAAAAAAATGTTTACCATAGTGAGTTCTCTATAGAATAATGCATCCATTACTAATTAATTAGGATTACTCCCCAAGTGCAAATCATTCTCAAATATCAGTGAGCTGCATGTGAAGGGTCCAGGAATATAGAAATATAAAATTATAAGCTTAAAAGATAAAAACTGACAATCATCAGCTCTAAATGTTAACTGCTAACAATGGCCCTCTGCTTCACAGCCAGTTCCTCTGTCAACAGCCAGGGGTTAACTTTTTTTTTTTTTTTTTTTTTTTTGGTTTTTCGAGACAGGGTTTCTCTGTGTAGCTTTGTGCCTTTCCTGGATCTCGCTCTGTAAACTAGGCTGGCCTCGAACTCACAGAGATCCGCCTGCCTCTGCCTCCCCAGTGCTGGGATTAAAGGCATGCGCCACCACCGCCTGGCCTAGGGGTTAACTTTTAACACCCTTGCCCCTTATAGCCAACAACTGTTTAGATCAAAGTTAACTTTTAATAGTTGTTTCCACCTGACTTCTAACATGCATCCCGTGCCTGATGTTTCTATGTGACTCCTAGCATGTATCCTGTGCTTGATACTATAAAAGGGGGCCAGTACCCGCCTCCATTGCCACAGCCCCAGAATTCCAACATTGGCTGTAGTCTCAGCTAGCTGTTAAGTTTTTGTACCCCGCAGTGTTTTATTATTTTTAAATTTTTAATTTTTTTATTTTTCTAGAATAAAGTTTGCTTCTGGTTTAATAGACTTTGGTGATCTGTCCTCCATTATTTTGAGACCCCCGGACCCAACACATGGAAATATTATTTCATATTACTTGGAATTTAAAGTATGAATTACTTCTTATATGTATAAAATACAAGCAAACACCACAGAATTTGCATAATAAGATTCTGAAAATGGAGAAATGGTCCTTTTGTGCCCAACGTGGAGTAAAAACAAGAGCGATCCTAGTTTCTGTCAGGTGTTCAATACTGAACTAAAGCCATGGGCCTGAAATGTGACAGTTTTCCGAATGCATTCCACAGGTGGAAGGTAAAATGATTTTCCTTTAATATTTGTGAGGTTTTCTTTGCTAATAAATGACACAATTTTGGTGTATGGAATTGAAATTTCTCCCTGAAGTTCATGTGTTGAGTCCCTCCCTGCTCAAGGGCAATAGTGTTCTGAGGGTCACTGGAATGTGACTGAATCATTGAGTCCCTCCCTGCTCAAGGGCAATAGTGTTCTGAGGGTCACTGGAATGTGACTGAATCATTGAGTCTGACCGTGAGTTCAGAGTCATGCATGGAGTCAGCCCAGCTTGGATGTTGTCTGTTGCTAACAGTTTTGTGGTTGCATTTCCTATTGTCCCTCTGTCTTTCTCTCTCTCCTCCCTGAATGCCTTCTTTCTTAGGCTCCCTAACAAGTATATTCTGTCTGTCTTAATTACTTTTTTATTGTTGTGACAAAACACTGTGACCAAGGCAACTTACACATTTAATTAAGGGCATGTTTACAGTTCCAGAAGGTTAGAGCCCATGATCATGGTGGGGATCATTGCAGCAGGCAGGCATGGCTCTGGAACAGCAGCTGAGATTTACCTTCTGATCCACAGGCAGAGGCAAACAGAGAACCAACTGGCAGGAGCTTCTGAAACCTCAAAGCCTGCCCGCCAGGTGCCACACCTCATCCAACAACGTCATACCTCCTAATCTTTCCAAAACAGCTCATCAAACTGGGCACTGAACATTCAAATACAAGAGCTTATGGGGACATTCTCATTCACACCACCACCATCCATGAGCCCTCTCAATGGGACCAAGGACATAGATAGCAGTAAGCCTGGAGCAGTGAGAAGCACCTTCCCCTCTTTAGCTGACTCAGCGGTTACTCTTGCTCAGCAAAGGCCAGCTCAGCAGCAGAGCACCCACCTGCCCAGTCTGTTTTGCTGCTGTTTCCTTTATGTCTGAAGAGATTCAAACACGCACATGTTCCCTGCTGCTGTCTCACACTGTTGGGTCCAGGGGCTCGAAATAATGGGGGACAGACCATCAAAGTCTGTTAAACCAGAAGCAAACTTTATTCCAGAAAAATAAAAAAATAAAATTATAAAACACCACAGGGCACAAAAGCTTATCCGCTAGCTGAGACCACAGCCAATGTTGGAATTCTGAGGCTGTGGCAGCTGGGGGTGGGGTTGGGGGTGGGGGGCTATGAGCCTCTTTTTATAGTAAGGGATAAGCATGAGACATAGACAAAGGAATTTTTATAATTTTGAAGTTAAATTTTTAGAGACAAATTGTTTTAGGTTTTTATAATTTTCCATTAACAAGGTTTTAGGGGGGTTTGGCTAAACAATATTTGTATATCCCTGTAGCCCTTCTTGACTTAGTTAATTGATGTTTGTCCAAACCTGCAACTTCTCCTGACATAGATGAGTTCCCATAGTGGGGAATATGAAACAATGCAAGGCAAGCTGTCATGTAGAACTCATTAACAGTTAACTTTGGTTTGGGTAGTGAGTGGTAGAGTGTTATCGAAGAATAGCTAACCCCAGGGGTGCAAAGGGCAATCTTTAGTAAAAGAAAACTAGCATTTGGGTTGTTGACAGAGCTGCCCATCGTAAAACACGGAGGGCCCAGTTAAAGGTTAATCCTTTTTTTGCTAGCCAAGCTGATGGCTGTCAGTTTTTATTCCTTACGTTTATAATTTTATATTTCTATATTCCTGGACCCTTCAACACCTAAAACTCATCCAGAGTGCAACATCTTTACCTACTTCCTTAAATACAACAACAAAAAGAGCCAAACCTGTGTGCTCAGGTGGCCTTGAGAAGGACTTGATGTAAAGAAAATTACTGACTGGAGGTTTGTAAGTGCAACTTCAATCTGCCTCAGTTAGGATTACACTTTCATTGCCAGGTAATTGATTGCATTCAGCATTGGATCTGAAATAGGAAATATAAACTTAGATAATATTATGCCAGTTGTGAGGTTTGTGTAATGTGCAAAAACATTGTTTGTTTGTTTGTTTTTTTGAGACAGAGTTTCTCTGTGTTGTTTTGGTGCCAGTCCTGGATCTCGCTCTGTGTAGACCAGGCTGGCCTTGAACTCACAGAGATCCGCCTGGCTGTGCCTCCTGAGTGCTGGGATTAAAGGCATGCGCCACCACCACCTGGCGCAAAAACATTCTGAAAGAAACCATTCTGGTATTTTATCAAATTCTGTTAAGATTAGCCTTGAAGGACAGGCATGGTGGTGCACACTTTTAAACTCAAGCACAGGCAGGTAGATAGATCTCTATCTCTGGGAGTTTAAGGCCAGCCTGGTCTACATAATGTGTTCAAGGACAATTGGGGCTACATGGTGAGATCCTGCAGCAAAAATGCAATTACCCTTTCTTTCCTATGCTGAAATATCATGTGAGAGGTTCAGACCCGAGGCTAGATCATATATATTTCATTGAAGGTCCACGCAAAATTATTAAAAGCAACTGTTTTCTTTATTAAGAAATTCACTTACAGAGTTTGAAAAACATACCTGATTGTGATTTTATAACACAAATGCAGCTTACAGGAATTGGAAGAATGTTACTAAGACGGAAAACAGAGTAATCACTCAGCATTTACAAAGAACAGACAAAAATGTAAGTCTTGTTAGTACACATTGTACAACACAAGTTTTCTAAGAATAGTTTTGACTTTCTGCTGATATCTGTATTTATTTTCTCCACATAGATCTTATTGAAGACATCCAGCCATTGTTATTATTATATAAAGATACTAATTGCTAATTCTACAGCTTTGCCAAGAATTTTCAACAATTAGTAAAATGTTTGTGTTATTTTGAATGAGGTCTCACTACATAGGCCTGGCTGGCCTCAATTCAGAGTTCTGCCTTCTTCTAGCTAGTGTTGGAATTAAAAGTGGGCCAAAATCCACATCCAGATCATAAATGTTTTCTTGTAAATATTTAGGACATGCCAAGTGTCAGTGGCGCACGCCTTTAATCCCAGTACTCAGGAGGCAGAGGCAGTCGGATCTCTGAGTTCAAGGCCAGCCTGGTCTACAGAGTTCCAGGACAGGACTATACAGAGAAACTACCTCAAAAAAAAAAAAAATAAAATAAAATAAAATAAAGACAAAAACAAAACAAAAAAGCAAATATCGAGGAAAGCAGTTTTCTTTGGGGAGAGGAGGCCCACCTCACTCATAAGTGCATTCCTACTGTTCATCTGCCGCTATGGCACAGTAATAACTTTTTCTTGGGACATTAATCATTCTTGGTAAAAGTGATAGAGTTGAAGGGATTTTTCTGCTGTGAGTACTTCAACAGCACTGAATGGAAGAGAGATTTATTCACCAGTGGACTGAAGACAGTATAGTTCCTGAAAGACTTCAGTTTGTATTCTTTTTATACGCTAAAACCATAAAGTGGGGGAGAGCCAGCAAACAAGTGGGATTTAGTGGCTGGAGGCTTTTGCTTTTCAAATGCCTATGCTCCAGTTGACAAGAGTAAGCCTTTGTGGTGTGGTTACTAAGGACAAAAACCTATTGTGTTTGAGGCATTTCCCCCTTCTCAACTGCCTTCTCTTCCAGGTAGTAAGGTGCAAACCACTACACAAACCAATAAACCCAGTATCTAATGATAGGTCCTTTTTTTTTTTTCCTCTTTGAGACAGGGTTTCTCTTTGTAGCCTTGGCTGTCCTGGAACTCACTCTGTAGACCAGGCTGGCCTCAAACTCAGAGATCCACCTGCCTCTGCCTCCCCAGTGCTGGGATTAAAGGTGTGCACCAAAAAGCGGGTGTGCCCTCTGTACGTTCTCTCCTTTTCCGCACTCTCTCCTTCCGTATTCCCCTCCGCAGGTCCTTTCTTTCTCTCTCCGTCTCTCAATAAAGCTCTAGAAAGGTAACTATGGCACACTGATTCTTCCGCTCTTCTGCGACGATATATCCAGCACTCTCCTCCATCGGCATGGCCGCCCCAGCCACAAGCAACGCGGCTTAACCAATGGTGTCCCCTGATGATTAGTAGCCGTTCTCTACCTAACTTCCCTGACTCTTGTCTTGGGTCCCTCAGCTTTGATGCAACAATTGATACAAATTATTTGATGCTTTTCAGTGTAATCTAACCAACGGTACTTATGTCAGTCAATTTCAATACTTACAATATAAAAATGTTTCCCAAGATCGTTTTCTTTACTCAAATCAAAAAATCCTATTCCACTGAAATATGTGACGATTTTGTATATATTTAGTTTTCTTCTTTGTAATACACTGGCTTGTGTCTTAGTATTTGTATATGAATCTTTTATTATTACTACTGTTGGTTTTAATGTGCTGTGTTGTTACCAGTGCGAGAAAGGTCAAGAGGCATAACAAAACCCATTATCAGAGCAGAGTTTTATTAGGAGAGGGGAGGGACAGAAGAGAGTGACCGGGCCTGTGGAAGACATGTGCAGAGAGTTGGGAGGAGGAGGAGAAGAGGAAGGGGGGGGGGGGACTGTGATCCACTTCTTACAGATTCCCCTGCACATGTGCACATGGGTTTACAGAGCTACGCTATGGATTACGTAGGACATAAGGCCCCTTACTTGGCTGCTGAACTGCACATGTGCAGTCACATAGCTGCAGGAGTGGACAGAATTCCAACAACTATGCTCTGCATTTTCACTAAATACTTCCCCAACTTTCTAGAGAACTGAAAAATAATTTTCCTGCATACCCTTAGGGATTTTCTAGCTGTGCATGAGCATATACATTGTCACAGTCACAAGATCATCCGTGTAAAGTTCTCACCATCTTGCTATTGATAGGTTTTCACTCTACAATGCATGTTTTGAAGACGGGGAAAAAAGTCTTCTGAAAGCATTTTCTTGGATTTTCCTTCAGGAAGAATTTTCAGGTGTCTACTGTTTAGCAATAGGTAAAGACATTGACAAATTCAGTGAATTTCTTCTGGTTCCCAACAGTGGAATTTTTAATGTGCAATGAGGCATGAATAGAGCACAATGGTAAACATTTATCCGATTTCTCTCTAATATAAATGCTGTACAACATTTCAGGAAATAATTAAAGGCTTGGTGACATTCTTTAGATTAACATAGATTGTCTTCACTATGAAAGTTTTGAGGTTGATAAAGTAAAATGTTTTAATTAAGGGCTTCCCATATGGCCACATATTCAGAATTTTTCCTCACTATAAACTCTTGATGTTTTGTAAGATTCAACAATTCCTTCAAGGCTTTCACAAGTTTCTCAAGTTCATAATGATTCTCTAGTGTGGTGACTGCTTTGGTCCCTATGGGCAGAGCTCTGAAAAAGCATATACCACATTATTTACTATGGAAAGTTTTTTCTCCAGTATGAATTTTCTGATGTCTTTTAAGGTTTGCCAACGTGGTAAAGGATTTGTCACATTCACTACATTTGTAAGGTTTCTCTCCTGTATGAATTCTGTAATGGATGTTAAGGTGTGATAAGTGATAGAAGGCTTTACCACATTCTTTACAACCATGAGGTTTCTCTCCTGCATGGATTTTCTGATGTGTTCTAAGAGATGAAGATTTGGTAAAGGATTTGTCACATTCATAACATTTGTAAGGTTTCTCTCCAGTGTGGATTCTGTAATGGACTTTAAGGTGTGATAGTTGATAGAAGGCCTTACCACATTCTTTACAACCGTGAGGTTTCTCTCCTGCATGGGTTTTCTGATGTGTTTTAAGAGAAGAATGTTTAGCGAAGGATTTGTCACATTCCTCACATTTATAAAGTTTTGCAGCATGAATGCTTTGATGTCTCCTACAAGTTGAGCAGTGCGTAAAGGATCTGTCACATTGACTACATTTGTAAGGTTTCTCTCCAGTATGGATTCTGTCATGGCTTTTAAGACAGGACAACTGAGAAAAGCCCTTACCACATATTTTACATTGGTAAGGTTTCTCTCCAGTATGGGTTCTATAATGGACTTTAAGGTATGACAACTTACAAAAGCACTTACCACACTCTTCACATTTGTAGGGTTTCTCTCCAGCATGAATTTTCTGATGTATTCTAAGGGTTGAACACTGGGTAAAGGATTTGTCACATTCCTTACATTTGTAAGGTTTCTCTCCGGTATGGGTTCTGTCATGTTTTTTAAGTTGGGACAATATATAAAAAGACTTACCACATTCCTTACATTTGTAAGGTTTTTCTCCAGTATGAATTTTCTCATGTGTTCTAAGAGATGAGCACCGGGTAAAGGATTTGTCACATTCCTGACATTTATAAAGTTTTCCCGCATGCATATTCTGATGTTCTCTAAGAGATGAGCAGTAGGTAAAAGATTTGTCACATTCCTTACATTTGTAAGGTTTCTCTCCGGTATGGGTTCTGTCATGTTTTCTAAGTTGGGACAGCATATAAAAGGATCTACTACATTCCTTACATTTGAAAGGTTTTTCACCAGTATGAATTTTCTCATGTGCTCTAAGAGATGAGCACCGGGTAAAGGATTTGTTACATCTCCAACATTTGTAAAGTTTTCCCTCATGGATGTTCTGATGTTCTCTAAGAGATGAGCAGTAGGTAAAGGATTTGTCACATTCCTGACATTTGTAAAGTTTTCCCTCATGGATGTTCTGATGTTCTTTAAGAGATGAGCAGTAGGTAAAAGATTTGTCACATTTCTTACATTTGAAAGGTTTCTCACCAGGATGAATTCTGTAATGGGTTTTAAGGTCGCATAACCACTTAAAGGACTTGTCACATTCTGTGCATTTCCATAGTTTCTTTCCAGTACAAGTTCTCTGATGTGTACTGAGGCTTGAGCAGGTCCTGAAGGATTTCCCACATTCCCTGAAGTAGTGTGGCTTTTCTCCATTATGAATTCTTACCTGTACAAGCTTGGAGGTAAAGCCAAGAGACTGATCACATTTGTTATATTTATACTCTTTCTTTCCTATGAAGATTCCATGACTCTGACTTATGTTTGAAAATAAACTTAAAGATTTGCCAACATCTTTATATTTGCAAAGTTCTTCTCCAGTGTGCATGCTTTCATGTCTACTGCAGTGTATTGATTCAGTATAGTCACCCCTGTGATTTTGTATCCATCTGTTTTTGTAGCAGTTTTCTGTAGTATTATTTGTTTTGTACAGTGTCCATTTGGGGGATTCGCACAACTTCTGTTGAACAGCCACATGCTCATAGGCAATACACTTTGAGTTTTGATCAAAGACCTTCTCAGATTCGCCACACATCTGTTGGTACTCTAGAAAATGAGCACAATTAGGGTGAATAGGTTTGATGCATGATGAAACAGACTCAATATCTGAGTTCTCTAAGTAAATACAATTTTCTAGAAAAGAGCTGTTATGGAATAATTTTCTTGTACACTGTAAAGATGTGTCTTTGCCAAGGCACCTTCTGATTGGATTAATAAAAGAGCTTACTGGCCAGTAGCTAGGCAGGAGGTATAGTGGGGATAGCAAGACACAGAGGATGCTAAGAGAAGAAGGGCAGAATCTGAGGAGTCTCAAGTGAGATACAGAGGAAGCAGGAGATAAACATGCAGTGCTGAAGCAAGGTACCACCACGTGGCAGAGATAAGAAATATGGGTTAATTTAAAATGTAAGCGTTAGCTAGTAAACAGCCTAAACTATCGGCCGAGCATTTATAATCAATAATAAGTATCTGTATGGTTATCTGGGAATGACTACTGAGACACAGAAGAACTCTGCCTACACAGAGCTCTCAGCAAAGACTTTCCTTTCACTATCACTGTGTGGAAGCTACTGCATGGATGCTCAGAAGAACCTCCACTCTGATCTCCATCACAGATAGCAGCCTTTTAGTCCTTACCTAAGGTGTATTTGTAAAAAAGTAGGACAAATAGTTGAAGAAACAGTAAACTTTGGGGACAGAGCTCTCTGATGGATTACATTTGAAAAATGTTACTCTGCCAAATTTCCCTCAGAAATATTATATAACTATTTAAATCCAAAATATCTCCACTTAATAAGTGTATTGCTTGCACATCCTTCCCCAGAATATTCAAATTTTTTTTAAGTTTAAATTTTTTTCTTATGAACTTGATAGAGCTAGGTGTGGTGCAGCATGACTTTAATCCCAGAATTTATCAGACAAAGGCAGGCAGGTCTCTGTGAATTCCACTCCAGCCTGGTCTACATGTCGAGTCCCAGAATAGCCAGAGCTACATAGAGAGATCCTGTCTCAAAAACAAACAAACAAAAATCGTGATAGAGATTTTTTTTTTCTTAAAGACACATTAAAATCATTGAAAGCAATGGATGTAAAGAAAATACTTTTGCTAAATATCCAAAGCTGTAGATCAAATGGGGCAGGGATGTCATGGGTAGTTGTTATGCACTCTTTATTTCAAACCCTATACTGTCTGATATCTACAAACTCAGTCCTGTGTTCCCTGTCTTTCCTTAAATAGAAATTATAAAGGTCACTCACTACTTTCACTGATTTCTAAGGTTATTTTCTGGAAGGATCTTTGTGCCTTTCTCCCATGGAGAAAGTCAATACATGTAATATGAAGACATGGCTGCAAGAAAGGAAATTACAGAGATATCCTACTTCATGAACTCATGTTAGATTATAACCTACAACATTATTCCAACTTGAAGACATTAACAAGGTGGTAGCATAGAAAATTTCATATTCTCATGCTAGCATATAGTACATAACAAAACCAACATTCACTGACAACATTGTTCGGCAAGATTGCTAAAATAACTAGGAGCTTGCCATTACACAGTAGAATAAGACATTAAATTTAAGTAAGGAACAAAGATAATCATTTCTTAGATATTCATACATTTTTTTTTCATTCTCTAATTAGAACACTAAAATCAGTGGAAGGCCAAGATAGAAAGCCCAGTGTTGAAAAGCAGCAAATTCTGTGTGCGACGGATGAGAGAGAGAAAACTGGAACAGGGCAGGTTTCAACTCAGCAGCAGAAACAGGGCTCAGAAAATTAAACACAGAACTATGAGAGATTCACCAGACAAAACAACCTCTTTGCCATTGTCTCAAGGACATATACAAGACTAATTCTGAAAGTATAAAATAGTAACAGTGAGATTCCAGCTCTTCTTGATCAGAATGTCAGTGCCTCAGACACTGGAACCCAAAAAATGTGTAGGAGTCAGGCGGTGGTGGTGCGTGCCTTTAATCCCAGGCAGGTGGATCTCTGTGAGTTAGAGACCAGCCTGGTCTACAGAGTGAGATCCAGGACAGGCACCAAAACTACACAGAGAAAACCCTGTCTCGAAAAACAAAACAAAACAAACAAACAAACAAACAAAAAAGAATGTGTAGGATGTGGATGTGTTTTTAGATGAAATCACTTTATATATAACCAGTTGACATATTTTCAGGTGCTGGCTTTGGCAAGCCCTGTAGTATGCAAGAATAAAATAATTATAAAGGATCATGACTGAACTTTATAATAGAATGAAAACAGTAAAGATTAATATGAAGAGTAAAGAAGTTAAGATAGTCATGAGAAATACAGAAAACTTTGTAAAAAGTGTTAGTATGTTCTTTACTTTCAGTGATTTTCTTTTTTTTTTTTTTTTTTTTTTTTTTTGGTTTTTCGAGACAGGGTTTCTCTGTGTAGCTTTGTGCCTTTCCTGGAACCTGGAACTCGCTTTGTAGACCAGGCTGGTCTCGAACTCACAGAGATCCGCCTGCCTCTGCCTCCCAAGTGCTGGGATTAAAGGCGTGCGCCACCACCGCCCGGCACTTTCAGTGATTTTCTTAAAATCATATCAGAGTAGAAGATGCAAAATTGCTTCAAGAATTGAGACAGAGCGGCTGGAGAGATGGCTCAGTGGATGCTCTTCCAGAGGACCCAGGCTGTGACATGCACATGGCAACTCCAGCCCTCGGTAACTTCAGCTCCAGGGCATCCAAGGGTACCAGGTACATGGGTTGTGTACAGACATACATGCAGACAAAGCCTCCATACACAAAAATTACATACATAAAGCAGGGTGGTGGTGGCGCACACCTTTAATCCCAGCACTCAGGAGGCAGAGGCAGGCAGATCTCTGTGAGTTCGAGGCCAGCCTGGTCTACACAGCGAGTTCCAGGACAGGCTTGAAAGCTACACAGAGAAACCCTATCTCAAAAAAAAAAAAAAATTACGTATATAGATACATAAAAATTAAAATGAATTTAAGAAAAAAGATTTGAAACAAAGAAAAATAAGATTAAAATATATATTTTCTGCCATAAATCTACTTCAAATTTAAGGACACAAAATGTTGAATGAAGAAATTTTGATAAGATATCTGTGGTGGTTTGAATGAGAACGCATTTCACAGGCTCATATATTTGCATGCTTAGTCCTCAGCTGATGAACTGAGAAAGGATTAGAAATTGTGCCCTTGTTGGAAAAGTGTCGCTGGGCGTGAACTCTGAGGTTTTAAAAGCTAACACCAGGCCAGGTGTCACTCTGCCTTTGGATTAAGATGTAAAGTGCTCAACTACTGGTCCAGCACCATGCCATCCTGCCTCCCACATGCTCCACACTGTAGCTGAAGTTTTCTCCAGTCCTGCCTGGCTCACGGTCAGGACAAATCTCTCTCACCCGCCAGTCCCGCAGCCACTCAGACCCAACCAAGTAAACACACAGAGACTTATATTATTTAAACTGTTTGGCCTAATGGCTCAGGCTTCTAGCTATCTAGTTCTTCTATCTTAAATTGACCCCTTTCTATTAGTCTATAAGTTGCCACGTGGCTCGTGGCTTACAGGTACCTTACATCTCACTTGTTATGGTGGCGGGGGCTGGCAGCGTCTTTCTGACTCAGCCTTCCACTTCCCAGAATTCTCCTCTCTCCTTGTCCTGCCTATACTTCCTGCCTGGATACTGGCCAATCAGTGTTTTATTTATTAACCAATCAGCGCAACACATTTAACATACAGAACATCCCACAGCACCCCACCATGATGATAACTGACTAACCCTTTGAAACTATACTCAAACCTCCAATTAAATGCTTTCTTTCCTAAGAGTTCCCTTGGTCATGGTGTCTCTTAACAACAATAGTGACTAAGACTGTACCCAATGGTGCGCTCATGGACAGCGCTTACACTAAAACTGGAATGACACACAGATTAGAATTGCCCCTGCACAAGGGTGACATGCAAATTCATGAAGCATTCCATATTAAGAAAATCAAATTCTGGGCAGTGGTGGTACATGCCCTTAATCCCAGGAAGAGGCAGGTGGTTCTCAAGTGGGTTTGAGACCAGCCTGCTCACACAGAACTAGTCCTAGGATAGTCAAGGCTAAACAAAGAAAACCTGTCTTGAAATAAACAAAACAAAATGAAAAGAGAAAAGGGATCACATGACTATAGGTAGCAATAAAGAACTGAAGTACACAAGTAAAATAACAGGCAATTCAAATCAACACCATCAAAATTAAAATAAAGAATACTAACCAAGAATAAAATGGTCCATTCCCTATAAAAGATTTTATCAGTATGGATGCATTTCATAGCATATTTTCCTAATACATGAAACAATCATTGACAGGAATGAAAAAATAATACATGATGAAAAAATACATCATGATTATAGAATCTTTCAATATCTACCATGTAACGATAGATGATGATATTAGACAGAATGTCAGGTCTGGAAAGAAGCACACAAACAGCATGAGACATGGATTATTGCCAGCAGCCCTCCTGAGATTCACCTACATGGAAGGACACCTCAGTCTACTCAAACTTAAAAGAACACGCTGCAGGATGAATCCTATCTTAACTAATTGAACCATCATAAAAAGAAATGATGAATGTGCCAGGCATTGTGGCTCATGCCTTTAATCCTAGCATTCAAGAGGCAGAGGAAGGCAGATCTCTGAGAGTTCGAGGCTAGCCTGGTCTATAAAGTGAGTTCCAAGACAGCCAGGGCAACTCAGAGAAACCTTGTCTGGAAAAACAAACCAACAAACAAAAAAATTATAGCAACGAAAATCACTTAGTATTGGCCTGAAGTCTTATAACTGAAGACATGAATGGTTACTAAGACAGAATCCTCCTCCCTCATAGTCAAATAAAATTTTATTTGCATACTAGTAGTACTTCCAAGATAATACCTGTGCAATAAGAATGTCTTCTAACATTTACAGTAGAATGCATCTTGAGGGCACTGCACTAAGGAAAGAGATCAAGAATTAACTCTAGTGAGACAGAACATGGCAAAACCATTTTCTGTTTTTCCTTCCTCTTTCACTGGAATCTCTCACTTCTGTCCTGTTCATTCACTCACCCCTACCTGGTCTGGCCACCATCTCCTCTCTCTTCACATTCCAGGGCACTTGGATTTGCTCCAGACAGGGAACCAGGTCTGCCTTGCATGCAATAATACCTGTGTATTAGAAAGTGGCACATGATTTTGCTGGATTCTATAGAATGTACTAGATATCTAAAAAGATGACATAATAGAAGTCCTAAGTAAATGGCTCAATGGTGAAAAGGACCCAGTTTTGGTCCCTAGTACCTGTGGAAGCTCACAATCGTTTGTAACTTCAGAATCAGTGCATTTGCTGCCTTCTGCTGGCTTAGTTGGGCACTCTGAGCACTCATGTACATGCAGGCTAACACCCATGCATAAAATAAAATAAATAAAGCTTAAGAAATATTTAGGGAGCATTTTCAGTTTCCAGGCTGAGTTTTGCTTCCTGTTAAGACTGAGTCAAATGCAATGATGGAAATGGAACTTCAGGATTTGGTGGGAATATTATCTCTCTTGGAGTATATCAAATGGAAATGGAACATTAGGATGTGGATAGGAATATGATCAGTTTCTGAATGAACCCAATGCAATGCTGGAAATGATACTTTGAGATGTGGGTGGAAACAACTACTGCCAGGTCTGTGAATGTATTGTGGACCTGAAAGGAAGCCTTCAAAATGCCTTCAAAAGGGAAAACATCAAATACCAGGAAGATGTATTAGTTAACATTACCGAGTTTCCTATAGTTTCTAAGATAGCTAACCAGAGAGTATCCACATCTACACAGTAGGTATATACCAAGGATCAGTTACGAATTCTTTGAGAAAAATATCCTCACCCACAGAGATCAGGTTGCTGTAATTCTCCAGCATCACATCAATGTACAAAGCCCTCTGAGCAGAATCCAGGTATTCCCACTCCTCCTGGGAGATGTCCACAGCCACATCCCGGAATGTCAACAGACCCTGAAATGAAAATAAATTTACCATGTGTAGAGTACTTTCCTGGATACAAAGAGTACAAGAGAAATCGAGCCATTTATTCTGTTGTAAATGAAGGAGCACAGTTATTCAGTAAGATGATTTCTGGAGTAATCACACTCAAAACTGCATTGTCTAACTACGGGAAAATAGGATGACATTATATTCCCAGAAACAATATATTTTTAGGGCATATAAGATATAAATTCATGGTGTGGACAGAGAAATATACCTTTTTATCAAGGCTGTGTTCATTTAACATAGAATCACAGTGTAGGCATCTTAGACAGTAAACTTGTGATAAGCAAAACTGTGCTTCTAAATGCCAAAATGGTAGACCTCGATAAAACAGAGACACTGGATCAATCTTTTCCACAGTTAGGTCTTATTGAACTGTATTCTTTTTTGTTTGTTTGTTTGTTTGTTTTTGTTTTTTTGAGACAGGGTTTCTCTGTGTAGCTTTGGAGCCTGACCTGGAACTCACTTTGTAGACCAGGCTGGCCTCGAACTCACAGAGATCTGCCTGCCTCTGCCTCTCCAGTGCTGAGATTAAAGGTGTGCACCACCACTGCCTGGCCGGACTGTATTCTAATAAGCTCTGGTGAGCTAAGGATCTAGGATCAATGCTCTAGCTCCACAATTCTCTAGAGCAAAGAGGCAGAACTTGGGAGGCAGAATCTATGGATGAATTTAATGTCAAAGCAGTTTCAAATACCGGGTGTGGTGGAACACATCTTAAATCCCATGCAGGAGGAAGAGGTAGGCAAATCGCTTTGCACTCTGGGTTTACATAGTGAGTTCCAGACCAAGGCTGCAAAGTGAGACACTGTCTCAATGTAATAAGCAAATAAATAAGTGAGTGAGTGAGTCAGTCTGTCAGAGAGTTCTGGTTTTCTCACAGTAAGAAGGGAGCAGCGACAATCCATACCGCTAATGCTCCAAACATTCACTATATAATGAGATTATCTTATGAGATATTTTGGCAACCCTGAAGTACATATAAAAACCAGGGCTGGGCAGTGGTGGCAACTGGTTTCGATCCCAGAACTGGAGAGGCAGAGACAGGCAGATCTCTGTGAGTTCGAGGCCAGCAACTACAGAGTGAGTTCTAGGACAGTCAGGGCTATAGAGAAACCTTGTCTTGAAAAACCAACCAACCAAACAAACAAAAAAAGGAGAGAAGCAAAGAAACTACAATCTGAATCTGCCAACAAGAGTATCACTTTAGGCCAGTGGCTCTCAACCTCCTTAAAGCTGTGACCTTTTAATACAGCTCTAGGTTTGCCAAAGGGGTCATGACCCACAGGCTGAGAACCCTGCTTTAGGCCAAGATGACACAGAATCGCAGTACTCTGCACTCATTAGAGAGCTTAAACATTCTGCATGAGGATCACAGACAGTACGACCTTGTCTACGACTACTTTTTCATAAACAGTTCAGTGACAACAGCAAGGCTCTTGAGTCTGAATGTGCACTTTCATAAAGCTAGTTTAAGGAAATCTCACGGAGTGCTCAAATGGAGCCTCTGCTGAACATGGTCCTCCTCAATGATATATAAGGGCACCCCCCGAATCCTCTGTCCAATCGGGTATCAACACATTTCTCTGATTATCAATCACAGTGGAAAACATTTTCAGAATTACAGGTCTTGAATTCATTTACCCTTACAAAGAGAAGCTGGGAAGGACAGATGAAGGGAAGGCTGTGCTACAGTAGAGGCCATGTATATTTAATCAGTTAACCTTATCTGTCAGAAGAAGAGGAAAAACAAACTTTTAGATAACATACACACGTAATTAAAGGCCTGCAGTGTTTTAATCTATAACAATCCCACAGATGAGAAGAGGGCACGACACTGACCTGGAACGTGTTTACTGGAGAACCAGCCATTTTTCTCCTTCTTGCACTTTTGTGCCAAGGTGTCAAAAAGATAAACCTGAAATTTGTATTAAAAGTGGTTAGGAACAAAGCCATATACCACAGAAAAAGATCCACACACTAGAATACTACCAGATGTCTTGTCAATATTCCTACAGTCAGCAGACTATGAAAGAGTGTGTTTAAAGCCACGATAGAAAACAACCATTAACCATATCATTGCACCCAGGCAACATGTCCCTAACAGTTGGCAGAGAGGTAAGGGCATTTGGAGATAGTCATGAGTTAACAGGTCATTTCACCCAAACATACTGAAGATAATAAGAAGAACAGACGATGCACACAAGAATGAGAAAAGAGAGGTTGGGGGAGGGGGGACTGAGCATTTAAGAGCACCGGCTGCTCTTCCAGAGGATGCAGGTTCAAATCACATGGCAAACTACAATCGTCTATAACTCAGGGAGATATAATGCCCTCAGGCCTTTCAGGCACCGGGTTTGCACATAGTGCACCCACATACATGCAAGCAAAACACACATAAAATAAAATAAAATAAAAACAAAACCGACAGGGAGAGGAATTATCTAAGAGGATACAGGAAATGAGATATGTGTGAGGAATAAGTGAATATAGGAGAGCTGGGAATTAATAAGTCAAGTACAACATAGCCAACCAGCAAAGCACTGTAACAGAGAAGGAAAAAAAATAGTACCAATCATGCAACCACCTACAACACAACCAACAAAATTACAGGGAAGAAAAATCCTATGAACAAAGTCTGGGTAGAAACAGAAATGAAATGTCACCTGACAAAGTTCAGTTCAACAAAATCTCATGATGGAATTCCTAAAGGAGCTATGAAGAAATGGAACGTGGCTCAATACCATAAAGGACATGTTTGTCAAACCTAGGCCAACAGTACAGTACGGAGAGAAAAATGAACCTCATTGGCAGGAACACCGTAACAACACAAAGGCGCACACCTTCTTCAGTTTTATTTAATGTGGAGCTATGATGGCTAGCAAGAGAGGTTTGAAAAGACAAAGAAGCAAAAGAGATAAGCTAGGACATAAAGGCACCAAAGTGCTCTTTTCCACAACGATGTGATCACAGAGGTAAAACTCCCTACTGATAGCTGGGCGTGGTGGCACACAACTTTAATCCCAGCACTCGGGAGGCAGAGGCAGTCGGATTTCTGTGAGTTCCAGGCCAGCCTGGTCTACAAGATGTGTTCCAGGACAGCCAGGGCTGTTACACAGAGAAACCCTGTCTTGAAAAACTCCCTAAAAAAAACAAACCAAACCAAACCAAACCAAACCAAAAAAACATAAAAACCTCCCTACTGACAAGACGAGGAACCCTTAGATTTGTCAAATGCTTGAAGTAATGTTGAAAATGGAAAATTAACATGTAAAATCACTACTTTTTCCATATATCGATAATGAGGATGTTAAAAACCAAATGGAGAAACTAACCCATAACATTACCTTAAAATACACCCAGGAGACAGGCATGGTGACACAAGCCTCTGATGCCAGGGCTCAAGAAACAGAAACAGGTGGATCTATGTGAGTTCAAGGCCAGAACAGCTAGAGCTACATAGTAAGACTCTTTCTCAAAAGAGATAGATAGATAGATGACAGATTGTTAGATAGATGATAGACAGACAGACAGACAGACAGACAGATAAAATCCCATCCAGGAATACTCCTAAAGAATAAGGTGCTAATTAATTAATTAACTTTGACTTCTATGATGAAAAATTGAAGGCACTCAAAAAAGGTGAAAAAGATAATAAACAATGAAATGCATTTCCATGCACACCAATGAGGGAAAATGACACAAGATACAGTATAAACGTATATATTACAACAGCAGAGACTGATCTATTAAAGCTGTGATCTCAGGATATAATACAGAGCCACATGACCAAGAGCACCACGGTAGAGGCAAAAGAGCAGGCCCAGCCCAGGGCAAGGGAGAGCAGGTCCAGAACCAGCCCAAGCAGCTAAGACCATCTGTAATTTTACCAAAATGCTCTACTGTGGTCAAATCTTAGAAACAGACTAGGTCACCAGGAGAAGGTGACTTAGCACTCAGGGAGCAGAGGCAGATGGATCTGTGAGTTTGAGGTCAGCCTGATCTACAGAGTGAGTTCCAGGACAGCCAGAGCTACACAGCAAAACCCTGTCTCAAGAAAAAGAAAAGAAAGAAAGAAAGAAAAGAAAAAGAATGAAAAGAAACTCTCTTTTCTGACAGAGCTGGAAAGCAAATATTAACAGCAGGAAAACAGAAGGAATACATGATGTGAAAACTGACAGCTGGCATGTTCTTATTCACAAACGAAAAGGCCATGTAGAATGTTGCCTTCTCTAAAGTTTCCAAGAAAGTTCCTATCAAAATCTTCCTGGCATTTTTGTAGAAATAGAGAAAGTAATCCTAAAGTGATATTAAATTGTGGGAAACCACAAACATTTCAAAAATTCTTCAAAGGAAGATCAAACCCAGAGGCGATTTGAAACTGTTAAAATCATAGCAACAAAACCACTGAGTGTTGACCTCAAGACAGACAGGAGATATCATTGAGAGGACAATGTACATGGAGCTTAATACTCTAGAGAGATACTAAACAATTTTTATCAAAATCCTACTGGCATTGTTTTAGGATGTAGAGAAATTAACCCTAATATTAGATATAGAATTTGAAGAACTGCAAAAAACTGCAAAATTTTGGAGAGCAGAGAAAAACTGAGAGGCATCAATTTTCCTAATTTTATAAATTAAAATTATAGTAATGAAAACTATTTAATATTGATATGAAGAAACTATCAGTGATATGCGTTCAAGAGGAATACCATCAATCACATGCATAGTGAAATAAAATTACATTTGCTTTTTACTATTAATTCTTTTTGATCGTTTGTTTGTTTATTTGTCTTTCAAGACAGGGTTTCTCTGTGTAGCTTTGGAGCTTATCCTGGAACTCGCTCTGTAGACATGTTGGCCTCGAACTCACAGAGATCCACCTGCCTCTGCCTCACGCATGTGGAGATTAAAGGCGTGTGCCACCACCTCCGGGCTTTACTATTAATTCTTACATAGAAAGTCTTCTAACACCTCTAACAGGATAATCCTGAGGAGATTATTCTCAGTAGAGTTCTCCAGAATCATTTATAATGAAACAGAATGTGGCAAAACTGATGTCATGCCAGTTTCCGCTGTCACTTGAGCTGCTCACCAATCCTTGCCTCAATCAACCCAACACACCTGGATCCTTCGCTACTGTCTCCTCTCTCTTCACCATCCAGGGATCTGTTCTGCTGCAGAGGTGAGCAGGTCTGGGCGATCAGTGAGTCCTAGACACGAGAAAGAGATTGTTCTAACACAGTACTGTGCGCAGTAGATAAAGAGAACATGAACCAGAGGATTCTACAAATGGTTCCCCAACTGTCACGTAGTGTCAGAACACCGAAGATATTTAGAGACCATTTTCAATCTGCATAACTTGAGTCCCACTTCCAGTCACAGCTCAGCTAAAGCTAAAGGGTAGGGCTGGAAAGATGGCTCAATGGTTCAGAGTACTTGTTGTGTGAATCCTAAATGGTCTTATAATGAATTGAACTCAGGACCTCTTGAAGAGCAGCCAGTGCTCTTAACCTCTGAGCCATCTCTCCAGCCCTGTGGGCTGGGCGGTGGTGGTGCACGCCTTTAATCCCAGCCCTGGGAGGCAGAGCCAGGCAGATCTCTGTGAGTTCAAGGCCAGCCTGGGCTACACTGTGAGTTCCAGGAAAGGGGAAAAGCTACACAGAGAAACCCTGTCTCGAAAAACCAAAAAAAAAAAAAAAAAAACCCAAAACAAATATGTTACAAGTACTGGTGGCTGCTCTTTTAGAGAGAACCAAGAATCGAGTCCCGGCATCCATACAGTGTCTCACAATCATCTGCAATTCCAACTCCAGGGGATCTGACCCCTTCTCCTGGCCTCTGTAGGCACCAGGTATGAAAGTGGTACAGACATACAGGCAGGCAAACACATATGAGCAAATTAAAAACAAAACTAAACCTCAAGAGTGGAAATGAAACTTCATGATTGAAGTGGCAATATTATATACTATTGAGTCTCTCAGAACACAAATGAAAGAAACCTAACACTTCCCCAAATGAAAAACATGAAGAATAGAGAAAACTTCACGAAAATGTTCTTTCCTGCTTTGAAAATTTTTCACTGTAATATGAGATGTGAGGTTCATCCACACAAAGCTCACACACATGCAGCACAGTTTGAGAAGGAACCTGAGGATGAGAAAGAATAATACGAGAAAACTATTCTCATCCACAGTAACCAAACTGCTGTAATTCTGTTGTGGAAATCTCTCTGGAATAAGCAATCTTAAACCACTGGAAGTGAGAAAGAAGAGATGTCACCAGTGGACTGAAGCTGGGAAAGGCTTTGTCTCCAGTTCCGTTTGTATTCGCATTTTAAAATCTACAACTACAAGGTGGGGCCAGGAGAAAAGCAAGCAGGACTTCCCAAAGGCAGCTTGGGGGCTTTTCAAATGCATGTTAAAGCATGTTAAATGCACGTGGTAAGGTTGCTAATTGTTTCATCAATTTCTCCAGGTCATTCTGTTCCAAGCAGCAAGATGAAGTCCAGGCAGCAAGATTAGCTGTAAAAGCAGAGCTTTAAGTAACTTAAATAAATCAGTAATCCAGTATAAATGGTCTTTTCCACCTTACTCTACTTCAATTCTCCAACTCCAGTCTCTGTACAAAAC